CACACACACACACACACACACACACACACAAAACCCAAAACAAAAACAAACAAACTTGTGCTCCTCCTGCTGACCACTCAGTGATCACCTGGCTTTCCTGCACAGGGAAGGGATATAGGACAGCTCAAAGAAAATTTTGAGGCCACTAAGGCTCACTGCCCTGAGTAGTGTCCCCAGAAACCTGCCAGCACCTTCCATCCCAGGAGAGAGCAAGAGGTTTAAACTCTACCTGGGAAGCTCTTTGGTGTCAGGGCAGAGCATGGCCTCAGGCAATCCTGTGGGTTCTGGGTGGGGTGAGTACCTACTGGGAATGTGCTTCTGCACAGCCTTTGGCTGGTGGGCCTTTTCCTTGTCATTTAGCCGTGATGAACATCAGAATGTGCCTGAGCTCTGGAGCTTGCCACTTGTGGATACAAATACTTTTTCTACAACTCACCAGCGGTGTGAATGGAATGCAACATTTGTTCTCCAAGTATGGAACCTCTTGGAGCTGAGAGATACCTGAGCAACTTCTCCTTAGAGACTTAAGATATCTAAAAATACATATTATAGTAGACTTTGAATGTTTATGTTGAACCAGAATAATAGAATGCAGTGTAACAGTGCTGTTCTGAGGTTTACAAGATTTATTAGAGCTCTCAATTCCAAGTCCACTGTTAAAATGGTGCTCTAGCTCCAGCTGCAGGGTCTCCTTTCATGCCTAACAATGAATCTCTGTGGTTGCAGGTGACCTCATTTGGAGATAATGAACCCACAGTTGATTTAAGGCCTTACCAGAGTGTGAGCCCTCGGCCAAATGGCCTTTGAGTTTCCTTTCTCAGCCAGCTTTGTCTGTGAGGCAGAGCCAATCCTCCATCCACAAAGGGTCTTATGAAGATTCATTGCAACTGTGCTTCAAAAAGCACTTCTTATAAAACAAAAGATAGCTACTTTAGCACAAGGCACTTTAAAGAGGGTGTATTTACAACATGAATAACCAATATCCCCTTAATATCAAGGATATATCTTGAACTTTCACAAATCAATAAGAGAAGCTCAAACAATTTAATAGAAAAATGAGCAAAAGACTTGCACAGGCCTTTCACAGAGGAGGCAACACATATGGCCAATAATCATAGGAAGAGATGCTCAAGTCATTAGTGATCTGAGAAATGCAAATCATGATCATAAAGATACATCATTTTATACCAATTAGACTGGCACAAAATGAGAGGTGGTGGAGAGGAAGGAGTAACTGGTGGTTAATTACTGGTGGGAGTATACTCAGTACAATCAGTTTGGAAGAGAGTTTATCTTTCTCTTGTAAAATGGGACATCACATACTCTATGGCCCAGCAATTCCATTCCAGTGTATCCACCCAAAATAAATGTCCACATATAATTCTGGAGACAAGGCCATGGTATCATTGCTTACAGAGCTCAAGCCTTGGAAACCATCCAGTTGACCATTAGCAGGTAAAAATTATTATCCACAATGAAATGCATGAACTACAGCTGCATTGAATAGGATGGATGGACCTCAGCAAAATAATATTGAGCAAAAATGTGTTATGGGCAATTTCATGTGGGTCAACTAATAGAAAGTAACATACACCATCACACCCTTTAAAAACTGTATGAAACACTCCCATATACACATCCAAAGTGATGAAATACAAGACTCACCATAGTGGTTGCTGCTGATGGGAGGCACAGAGTATCAGGAAGGGAGAAGAATCTTGTTGGATGTAAATCAGAGTCAGTGTCACATTTAGGCTAGCAGTTTTCTTTTTCTTTTTCAGTTATCATTATAATGTGTATTAAATAATTTAATTACTGAAGAGGGCTATGTTTGAAGAAATGGACAGATGCCCTAAAGCAAGGGCTGTGATGAATACCACTCTGGGACCTACCTACTCTCCCAAATAAAGAAATCCAGACCAAGTCAGGCAGAGTTCGGCTTCCCACAGTACCAGCCCCTTCCTTTTTTGCCTTCCCTGGTGTGCTTCAGGAAGGGAAATACACACCACTAAATCCCCGTGGATGGTGCTAGATCTGAAGGTGGCTCATCCAGGAAACACCTGTTCCTTGTCCTACTCACCCTAGCTCATTAGTGGCACATTGTTCTTCACATCTGGTGATTCTAAACTCTTTTAGTCACTTTCCTCATCTCTGGGACAAACTACTTAAAACACATAAGATAAAGGAGGAAATGTTTATTTTGGCTCAGTTCGGAAGTTTCAACCCATAGTCAACTGGGTCCAAGGCAGGGTGGCATGGCACAGTGGCATAGCGAAGGAAAAGCTGCTCACATCATGGTGGCCAGGAAGCAGAGAGAGAATAAAGGAAAATATACCCTTCTAGGCATGCCCTCAGTGACTCACTTCTAACCAGGCCCCAACTCCTAAGAGCAAGCCAGGTATAGCACCCCATTATTCAGTCACTTTCCAAAGCCCCGCCTCTGAGTGCATGAGACTCTTGGGGGCCATTCTTGATCTAAACTACAACACTCACTTAGGTTCTTACTCAAGAATACAATATAAAGAAACAGGTGGTGAAGGATGCAAATAAGGAAATAAGTAGTAAAGGATGACTTTTCAATGCCTACAGCTTTGTGGTACAGACTATTCATTTTTCAGTACACAGGATGTGTTACTTTTATGACATTAACATTTTAAAAACCCCAAGCTGGCTTTGGGGTCACAAATCTCCCTCATGCATTTGAATCTCCAAGAAAAAAAAAAAAGACTGCTAGTGCTAGACAAATGTTTCAGGTTTTATAACCAGTGTTATAAAAGCAAGTTTATAGTATTGTCAGAAAATGAAGTGTGCTAAACTTTTTTTATTGGAAAAAGTGCTCTCAAATCCTCCTTTATATTTCTGTTTGGGTGGTAACTGGACCAAAATGTTTTCTCTCCCCTGTCGTTGTGGAGCTGACCTTCCCTACACCACCAAAGGTCCTCCTGGCCTTGCAGAATACCAGGCTGGAAATGGCCATGCCCAAAGTGATGACCATGCCTTAAATCCAGAAATCATAAGGAAAAAAAAATCCAGCAAGTAAGAACTATGAGCTGGAGCCCAATGTTCAGGTAGGAGAAGTCATTCTAAATCCCAAGCAAAGCCTTCTCGGTGCAGTGCAGGCAGCCTGGCAAAGAAAAGCCACCCACCAAGGGACTTCTGGAAACTTTTTTAGCCATGGAATGACCATCACACTTCTAATTTCTACTTGCTCTTTGGTAACTCCAGCTTCATTTCCAGAAAGTATGCGGAGTGGAACAACGTCTAATTGCTACTGAAGTCAAGGAGCTTGGTGGTGTCTTTCTGACCTTGTATAGCGGCTGTTATTTTTTATTTTACTTGGAAAGACTGAAACTCTTAATGACTTGAAACCAATTTAGGTGAGATATTGCTTCACAAGAGATGCACACTTTTCTACAGCACCAGAACATAACAAAAGTTTTCTTATGATTGCCCCATGGCTGGGATGCACTCTTTTAGGCCATTGCCAGCAAGGCAAAAAGGAGCATGGACCTCACTGGGTCCTGTGAAGATAGCAAGAAGGAGTTTAGAAAGAAAGACTGAAACATGCACCTTTAACAACAAACCTGCCTGTCATCTGATGCATCTCACTAAATATTACAGTGTTCCTGAATGAGTCACCTGTTTGCTGTCTGATTGAGCAGGGACAACATCAGGGACGTAGCTCTCACCCTTCATTACAGTTACATTACAGTTACTTCCACTCCTTCCTGGAAGGGACAGGGAAATAGCTCCCGGGATGTTCAGGCTTTTTTGCTACCCTTGGGAGTAGATCCTCCAGGTCTTTCCAGATATGTCAAGAAAGAGGAGACAATTGTAGCCTTTGTTCCTCTCCATCACATGTACCACCAGACCCAAGGAGGACTGGACTATGGGTTGGCAAATTAGGGACCTGGCTCTGAGTCTGTTTTTGTAAATAAGGCTTTATTAGAAAAACAACCTCACCTATTCATTTACATTCCATTTATATTTGCTTTTCTACTACTTCAGCAGGGTTGAGTAGTGTAACAAAGAACATAAGGCCTT